CTTTCCCTAGCAACAAAGACTCAGACCCTCTTATCTGAATGTTTCTATTCCAAAAAATGATTTCCTTAGATACAAGTTTAAGACAAATTTTACCTTCAGCTATAAACTTACACCATAATCATTTCACCATCCCTATAATATTTTATTAAAAAATCCTCCAATCCTTACTATCTAGACCAGTATTAATAGAAATGTCTACAGAAATGGGGAATTCCCTGACGGTCCAGTGGTTAGGACTCAGCGCTTTCACTGCCGGGGCCCAGGTTCAATCCCTGGTTGGGGAACTAAGATACCATAGGCTGTGCAGCATGGCCAGGAAAAAAAAAATGTCTACATAGTAATGTCCATATATCTGTGCTGTCCAATATGGTAGCCACTAGCCAAATGTGGCAATGGAATACTTGAAATGTGACTGTTGTGACCAAAATTTTAGATTTAATATAATTTAAATTTAAACAGCTACATGTAACTAGTGGCTACATATTGGATAATGCATTTCTAAGCCCTTGATTTTGTGAATCTTATGTTTTATGGAGGCTAGGTCCTATTTATGAAAAAAATATACTTCTCTTTTTGGGAGGAGATGTGGGGATATATGTATATGTATAGCTGATTCACTCTGTTATAAAGCAGAAACTAACACACCATTGTAAAGCAATTATACTCCAATAAAGATGTTAAAAAATATATATATACACTTCTCTTTTTATATACTATCTGAACATGTGTTTAGAATTTCTGTAAAATAAAAATAAACTTGAACTAAAAGTTTTTTAATTAAAAAACTGTAAATCCCTAGTTATTCATTCAATTAGGTCAGGTTTGGCTAACAACACAATATGCAATACTGCAATCCTCTACTTCCAGAGAGTTAAAATGATCCCACAATCACAAATCATGAACAGTATCTTTCTTCTAAATATTCCATATGCCACATCTCACCTGGCTTCACGAAAGCTGCATGTAGGTACTTCCTCTTCACCAACTGCTTGATTTAACAGGTGCCTATAAAATCCACTGAGATCGCTCTGCTTGGTTACATCCAAACATGCTAAGAGAATGAAAGCAAAAGTGAGAATAACATATTCAAAAAGGCAAAATGCAGTTCAGTTTCACAGGCATAGAGTATGTAACACAGTGTATAAAGTGGTGCTCTAGATGAACACAGACCAAGTCTTATACATTTGGTTTTCTTCCACTTAAAGTTGATAAGCACTTGCCAATTAAGCTATTTGTAAGTACACATTTTACTTAGACCTTGAGAAACGACCACGAGTAGGAAGCAATGAAGCACTAAGGTATTCTTTGGCTTCTGCACATCTTTGTTCTTTCTTGAATTAATGTTATTCTTTTTGTAAATGCCCAGTTAATGCTCCTTGGGTGATGTTACTCTAGTTTTCTCAACCCAGGAAATATAACTGGGATTTAAATCTCAGTTTATACTGCTTTTGACAAATGTCATGCTTTCCATGCCTTGTAATCAATGTTTTTACATTTGAAATCATTTTCTAAGACAGTGACTTATCACATCATAGTTTTAAGCAACAAAGTGAGATGTAATTGAAAAGTTCAGTAGAAGTAATAGTTACTAAGAGTGCAACTGTGTTTTTAGTTAAAATCTCCTGTTTTATAATATACATAACATCATATATCTTGTACCCTGCATTCACATACATAAATTATGACACATTATAATCTAAAAGTTCAGTGACAAGCAAATGGTTAACCACAGGGCAGAACTCTCCTGTTTTCTTCTACTCCTCTCCCTCTTCCATTTCACCTTCAAGTGCAGCAGCCCTCCTTTCTCTTTCTTCCTCTTCAGCTCTCTCTTGCAGTTTTTTCTTATAAGCAGATGTTACAAATGCCTCTTTATCATCAAATTCTCCCTTTTCCATTTCTCGTTCTCTTTGTATTTTCTTTTCCATTCTTTTTTCCTGTTCCTTTTTTCTGATCTCAACTGCTTTTAGTAAGTTGTGAATGTACTTGGGCTAGGGGGAAAAAATAAGATTATTTAGGAAAGAGTCAAAGATAATTAACTGCTAATATTCTATTTTTATCATGAATTTATTACTATACAAATTCATTAAGATAGAAATCCAAATAAATAGGACTGTCAACTTCTAAATTTACTAGCAAGATAATAAAATTCTTCTCAATAGAAATTTAAGTATAAAAACAAAAAATTATTCAAAATGGCATTTAAAAAAAATATCAAGCTAAATAGGTCATTTTCCCACTGTTTTCCTCTCCCTTTTTACAAAATGGTATTGTCTTACTTCAACAGATACGTGAATAGGAAGGCTTCTAATTTTTCACATTAGTTGAAATACAACCATTTAAAATAGCAGCTTTAATATCATTTTATAGCACCACTTTATCTGTAGATACTGTAAGATGTAAAGATCCTTAAATACCAGTCCGTGCTTTGTGAAAGAATAAGAGTGATAGAAAATTTGAACTTATTTCATTCAATCTCCACACCCTAACTTGTTTTTTCAAACTAAAAATACGACCATGTTACACGCAGATGATTCAGTTACCAGCTAGGAAGCAATAAAAAATTATAAGACACAAACATGAACAGGAGAAGAAGCAGTACAAAGACTTTCTTAGGAAAAACTTTCAAAAAATAATCTGCAAAAGTTTTAAAGCAAAAAACCAAAATTTATAAAATTGTTAGATAATTCTCTTGCTCCTGTTAGGATACTAAATATATAGTTTCCTAGGTTCTCAATCAAATCCATACTATCTGGAACTAGGGGCTCTTCACACTTCAAATACCTAAAAGCTTTTTCTCAGATCATTCTCATGTTGAAATAAGCGTAAGTTACAAAATGCAGGTCAAGGTCAAAGAAACTTTGTATTTTCAGCTACAAACCTTTCGGTCTTTTCCCAAAAGCAATTTTGGATTACTTTCTTCCTTTTTTTTCTTCATTTCATCATAAATACTGTCATATTCATATACAGTAGAATCTTCTGCAAGGGCCTTCTGGATTTCCAGTTTGGTCTTTAAAGAAAACATTGAACATGTTTCAGAAATATGAGCCAACTAATAGATACTACAAAAAGTCTAAGTAATTCTTTTGAGACAGGATCATAAATCAGAAATACATCATAAAAATTGTATCAATCACATTTTAAACTTAAAGCACTTAGAATAGAGCCTGACAGAGAGTTAAGTGTTCAATAAACATTATTATCTATTCACTTGTACATAAACAGAATTATCTACAAAAGGACCAGCGTATGACTTAGAAACACCTAACCTTAATTTTGAGATGCCTATATTACATATTAAACTTTCATATCATTTTTACTTATGTTACCAAATAAAATGTTCAAGTTTCAAATGGTAGGAAATCTTTTTTTTTCGGTAACTGAAAAATACTTTACTTTTAGAGATGTCACCTTCAGAATTTAAAATAAGCAGTATATTCACTACAGAAATTACAATACAGGTAGTTAAAAAAAATTTTGTCTGTGATATGTTTTCCATAAAAATATTTTAATAGGGACTTCCCTACTGGCACAGTGGTTAAGAATCCACCTGCCAATGCAGGGGACACAGTTTCAATCCCTGGTGTGGGAAGATCCCACATGCCGTGGAGCAACTAAGCCCGTGAGTCACAACTACTGAGCTTGCACTCTAGAGCCTGTGCACCACAACTACTGAAGTCTACATGCCCTAGAGCCCACGCGCCACAATTACTGAGCCCACGGCCTCAACTACTGAAGCCCACACACTCTAGGGCTCACAGGCCACAACTACGGAGCCCGCGTGCTGCTACTACTGAAGCCCACGCCTAGAGCCCGTGCTCCGCAATGAGAAGCCACTGCAGTGAGAAGCCTATGCATTGCAACGAAGAGTAGCCCCCACTTGCCACAACTAGAGAAAGCCCATGCACAGCAACGAAGAAGACCCAACACAGCCAAAAAAAAAAAAAACAGAATAACTATAAGGAAATATTTATTTTCATTGAAGTATAACTTACATTATGATTTGACATTTGTATACATTGTGAAATGATCACCACAGTAGGTCTAGTTACCATCTGTCACTATACAAAGTTACCAAAAAAAAAAATTTTCCCCTCGTGATAAAAACTTCTAAGATTTACTTCCCTAGCAATTTTCAAATTTGAATACAGTATTACTGACTACAGTCACCATGCTGTACATTAACATTGCCATGACTTATTTACTTTATAACTTGAATTTTGTATTTCTTTTTCTTTTTTCTTAAATAAATTTATTTATTTTATTTATTTTTGGCCGCGTTGGGTCCTTGTTGCTGCATGGGCTTTCTCTAGTTGCAGCGAGCAGGGGCCACTCTCTGCTGCAGTACACAGGCTTCTCACTGCGGTGGCTTCTCCCGTTGTGGAGCACAGGCTCCAGGTGCGTGGGCCTCAGCAGTGTGGCTCGCAGGCTCCAGAGCGCAGGCCCAGTAGCTGTGGTGCACGGGCTTAGCTGCTCTGCTGCATGTGGGATCTTCCTGGACCAGGGCTCAAACCCATGTCCCCTGCATTGGCAGGCGGACTCCCAACCACTGCGCCACCAGGGAAGCCCTGAATTTTGTATTTCTTGATCCCCTTCATTGATTTCACCAACCCCCCCATCCCCCTCCCCTCTGGCAACCATAAATCTTTTCTCTATGAGTTTTGTTTTGTTTGATCATTTTGTTTTTTAGATTCCACATGTGAAATCATATGGTATTTGTCTTTCTCTGACTTATTTCACTTAGCATGATACCCTCAAGGTCCATACATGTTGTTGCAAATGGCAAGATTTCTTTTTATTTTTTTATGGCTGAGTAATATTCCATTTGTGTGGCATGGAATACTTTATCCATTCACCCGTCAATGGACCCCTTAGGTTGTTACCATATCCTGGCCATTATAAATAATGCTGCAATGAACACATGGGTGCATGTATCTTTTTGAATTAATATTTTCATTTTCTTTGGATAAATACACAGAGGTGGAATTGCTAGATCATATGGTAGCTCTATTTTTAATTTTTGAGGAAGCTCGATACCATCTTCCATACTGGCTGTACCAATTTACATTCCCACCAACAGTATATGAGGGTTCCCCTTTCTCCACATCCTTGCCAACCCTTGATATATGTTGTCTTTTTGATAAGTCATTCTGACAGGTGTGATGTGACATCTCATTGTGGTTTTGATTATTAGTTCCCTGATGGTTAGTGCTGTTGAACATCTTTTCAAGTGCTTGTTGGCCATCTGTATGTCTTCTCTGGAAAAATGTCTACTTAGATACTCTGCCCATTTATTTTTTCTTTTTCTTAATTTTTATTGGAGTATAGTTGATTTACATTGCGTTAGTTTCTGCTATACAGCAAAGTTTATCAGCTATACATGTATCTGCCCATTTTTAATTGGATTGTTTTTGTTTTTGAGCTGTATGAGTTCTTTATGTATTTTGGATATCAACCCTTTATCAGATATATGACTTGCAAGCATCTTCTC